ACCTGGGTTGTAGGCCAGGTCCCCGGTGGGGGGTGCACAAGAGGCAACCACACATTAATGTTTCTCTCCCTCTCTTTCTCCCTCCTTCCCTCTCTGCCTAAAAATAAAATCTTTAAAAAAATTAAGTATATACTACTTCACAGGTGGTTATGAGGAGCCTAAGAAATCACAAAAGGAAAGTGTTCTGCACAAGGTAACTACGAACATGTTGACTAAATCTTGCATATACAAAGAGTGTTGAAAAATCAAGAAAACAAAATAGTCAAAATCAGTTAAAAAGTGGGCAGAAGCCATAAGCATTTTATAGACAAGGAAATAAAAATAGCTTTTAAATATATGAAAGATGCAACTCCACTCATAAAAGAAATGAGAACACAACTCAAATAAGATACTATTTTTCACTTACTGGATGGTAAAGATGAAAAATTTTGATAATGCTGTACTGGTGAGAGTGGGGAGAGAAGTACAGTCATACAATGTTGATGATAATGCCAATTGTGGAGAGTAGTCAGTAAGTTCTATCAAAATTACAAGTGCTTATGCTTAAACATAATTCTACTTCCAGAAATTTAAATCAGAGAAATGGTTACAATCCTAAATAGAAGAACAAAAATGTTTTCAGAGCTTTGTTTTTTATTTGTAAAGGCCCAATAATAAAGGGCTAGTTTAATAAAATAAAAATACACACAGTGGAATACTATATGGCTATCAAAAAGAATAAGGCAGCTCTATGTGTATCGATATGGAATGCACTCAAGGTATGTCACATGAGAAAAGAAAGAAGCAAAATGGGTACAGCATGCTACTGTTGATGTAGTTACAAACATATGCATATGTAATATATACACATATGCTTTCATGTATGTAGGCTATCTCTGAACTAGATCACACGATGACCTATGAGGCCTCACGTAATCTGACTTGCCTCTTGGTTCCTACTCATTACCCCTCTGACTCATCTTTCTCCCAGCTCTGCTCCACTAGTGACACTGGCCACCTTGCTTTTCTGAGACCCCCAGGCATCTACTTGCCTCAGGGTTTTGCAATGGCTGTCAGTTAAGTTTTTGTCCCAAATGTCTATGGGGCTCATTTCTTTCCTTCCTTCAACCCTTGGCTCAAATCTTACCTTATCACTGAGGCATATACTGACTACCCTCATTAAAACCACACCCTTGCCCTGGCTGGTGTAGCTCAGTGGATTGAGTGCGGGCCTGCAAATAAAGGAATCGTGGTTCGATTCCCAGTCAGGGCACATGCCTGGGTTGCAGGTCAGTTCCCAGCAGGGGATGTATGAGAGGCAACCATACATTGATAAGAGAATTTTTTTTTATAAGAGAATTTTTTTAAAAACCACACCCTCATCCTTTATTCCCTCTTGCCCTACTTTTTCTCTTTTCCACAGTACTTATCATCTGCTGATATTTTTATCATTCAATGCACTTAGGTGCTGTGTTTATGATTATTGTTTATTTCCCTCCAGTAGAATGTAAACTCTACAAAGGGTAAGAATTTTTATCTTATTCAGTAATATAAACCAAGCATAAAATAACTAGTAGATACTCAATAAAGATTCACTGAATAAGGGAATAGAGAGATACACAGGAACCTGGTAACAGCTGTTCCCTGCAGGCAGGGAGCTGAGGTCCTAGAGGTGAGGGCAGAAAGGAGACTAACTTTTCAGGACAAACCCTTGTGTGCTTTGTACCATGTGCTTGCATTAACTGGTTAAAAACAATAATAAAATTTTATGCTAGAACTAGAAGAAGTGACAACCTAGACTCAACCCCTCACCTGACATATGATCATTCGGGTGCAGAGAATGTAAGTAATTTGGCCAAGGTTACACAGCCAGGGTTTAAACTCAGATTTACTAACTCCAGAGCCCTAGCTCTTAACCATTATGTCACAGATCCGTTTGACTTGGATTTCTATCGGCCGATTTAATGTAGCATGAAAGAAATGCCAAGGTTTCCCCAAAGGTGATGGTTTGCCTCTGATATTTTTCATTACAATGAACTCCAAGCAACGGTCTGAGTTCTTCTGAAACACGAGATTTTGGTAGCATTGTGCTCAGCTTGACATAAATGGGAACACTAGTCTTGGGGATTCTTTTATGAAAACTGCACAGTCTAAATAAAGTGTTAGTCTCAGTCCCTTGGTAGTTGGAAGCACAGTGTTCCTGAAACCTGCACTCCCAGATATTTCTTCTTTCAAAGCCCTCAAGAGGTCTGGGTGGAGCTGTGGGGTGTTGCAGGGTGAGGGAGGGATTTGAAGGCACTTGGCCTGGGACTATTCCCAGGGGCTATTAAAGGTGGGCTGCTGAGCCTTCCCAACATGGCTGGCTGATGGGAGGCCTTCCATGCCCGGACCAGGTGGTGCACCCGCCGCCGCTGCTGCAGCCAGTAGAGCATCTCCACTTTGTCACGCTTCATCTTGTCCAGGTAGGGCCTGCCCTTGAAGGTCACTGGCTCACCAAAGATTAATTCAACCTCCTTCAAGAGCGAAACCAAAGGAGCCTCCATTAGATTGAGCTTCCTGTGTAGATGGTCGCGGATGTGATTTTCCTCCAGGAAGCAACTCAGTTCTGTGTCCGTCTTTTGGAAGAAACGGTTGGGGTCAGAGGCCTGTCGCTCAAACCACTCCAGTTTCCCCAGCCACATCTCCCGCCGCTGAATGGGCTGCAGGGTCTGCTCCCAGGCACTCACCAGTGAAGGCAGCTGCCTCAGACGGGCATTGGAGCTGTACTTGATGGCCATGTCCAACCTGTCCTTGTTGGGAACCTCAAGCATGGACCACAACCGCTCCAGACGCTTCTGCAGGCTGAGGATTTTGTAGGGTTCTCCCAGGAGGTTGGTCCTCTTAGTTTCTAGACTGTGCCCCAGAACTGTGTTCCAATCCCATTCTCCTGGCACAAAGTCTGGCTCTTCATCTTCTAGCAATGGAGGTGGGTGCTGAATCTTTAGGGACTCTCTGGCAGGAGCTATGATTTCCATAGGAGCCTCCTCTTCATACATTTGGAAGATGACATGGAGGAAATCTGTCTCCTGGTTGGTGAGGTACTTGAAATAGTCATCCACAGACAGGGTGGTCTTCCACCAGGTCATCCCTGCCGTCTTGTTTAATGGCACCTCCCAGCCTTTGCCTGCTTGGAGTGATGCGAGGGAGGACATCCTATCAGGGTTGGACTGTAAAGTGTTTGGTCTCTGGGAAAAAAGACCAGCCAGCTTGGGGTTGATGACATGATACTGCTGTTCTTGACGCAGAAAGGCTGAGACCAGGAACATTGACCAGTCTTTACTGGCTGCAGGCTCAATCAGGGGTCCCTGGTCAAAAGAGAAGTGGTCAGTAGAGACACTGCTCATCAACTCCTTGTAGACCTCCTTAATGCTATTACCAAAAAAGTGATCAATATCCATTTTTTCAATAAGATGGGGTTCCAGTTCACCTGCCAGGTGGTTGTATAGGGCTCCGATCTCTTCAACGTGGAAGGAATCCAAAAACTTTCTCTCAGAGACTTGTACACTGGCTGCCTGGACCACTACCTGATTTCTTAGCTTCAGAGTAACTGTCACTGGCTGTGGATGAAGTGGAGGGGATTTGGAGGACTGGGGACCACACTGCCCAGAGGTTTCTTCTTCCTCATTCAACATTCTCTGGAGCTCTTCCATGGGATGTGTTGCAGCTGAGTGGTGGGTCTGGGCCCCCAGGAGTGGGGGCACACCTGAGTCTATTGGTGAGTAGGGAGTCCACTCCAATTTCATGTTCTTCATCATTTGCTTCAGGTCCTCAGCCACCATGTCCCCCACCAGCTCTGGCTTGCTCTCTACAAACAGGACCAACGGAGTTACAGGACGAGGGGAGAGTGAAGGAAGACCCAATTCATCTGCTAGCTTCCAGCCCTCACGCAGAGAGGGCATGGACTGGCTCTTCTGGAGCGGGGGGTAGAGAAGCAAATGGGAGGTAAGGGGTGACCCATCGGTGAGAGCTACGGAGCACCCAGGCTGCAACACAGTCTGTGAGGAAGTGAAGCTTGCTTTCTTCTTTTGCATGACATAGAGCCAGGGTGGAGCCTTTCTCCTCTTCAGCTGGGGGATGGACTTCAGTTCCTTCACTGGATCCGGTTCAGGTTCTCTGAAAAACTCTGGTGAGCGACTGAGCTGGATAAGATAGTTCAGGTTGAGGTGGCAGCATGGCACTTGGGAGAAGTGGACGCTGTGAGCAGGTGGCTTGACAGCCCCAGGGGGGCTGAGGGGGCTCAGCTTTAATATGCTGCCCCGGGCCTCCTCGATTTTCAGCAGGGCACGGAAATCAGCGAGCAGGCCACGGTAGACCTCGGGACTGGTGAGGAAGACTGTGCAATCCCTGGCGAGGCTGGCGGCCAGCCGGGTGAGCGTGGCTGATTCAGTGTAGACATATGTGGAGGTCGACCTGGTCTTCAGCAGGTGCAGGTAACACAGGAAGAGCCGCTCGCAGCTGAGCAGCACGTAAACCAGGAGCCGCTTCCGCAGCCTCTGGTTGTTCAGGTGGCTCAGACTAGGTTCGGTGGGAGGCTCCCGCCAGCTGCACTTTAACTCGTCCAAAATGACCTCTGTGAAACGGTGTCGGCCCTCAGGAGGCATGTGTTCCTCCAGCCCACAACTGGCCAGCCGCTTGGCCACCTGGCGGCACAGCGACGCCACCGTCAGCGGCGAGACGGGCAGGGACGGTAGCATCGGGACTTCCTGCAGGAGGCGCTTCTGAGACTCTGGGCGCGTCATTCTGCTGGGGAAGAGCGATAGCGGACGCAGCAACCGGTGGTAAACCTGCTGGAGCTCGGGTTCCGGTTTAAAAGGCTCCATTTTAGTGCTGGCTGCGCCCGTTGTGAGACCCAAGGCCGCCGAGGGGTTACTAAGGGAACCAGGGACCAAACGGCCAGAGTGCGCCTGCGCTGCCTGAACTTTGTTGGCGGGGGCGGGGGCAGTGAGAGCAAGGCCCTGCGTGCGAGCGCACCAGGAGGCGGGGCAAAGTCTGGCTTCCGAGGCTCCGCCTCCTGGGGACTGTACACTAGGTTTCCGCTATGGGACTCTAGCCGTTCGCGTCTTCTCGCCAGTGACTGCATTCGAGATGGCCTCGGACTCGGGGGACCGTGGGACCGCCTGCACGGTGAGGTTCGAAGCCTCTTGTGGGAGCCTAGCGGGGCAATTAGCCTCGACCCTTATGGGTGATCGTTAACTCGAGAAGCGGGGAAGAAGCGGGCACCAGGGGCGGGTCCCGAGGCCCCAGCATGAAAAGAGTGAGAGAGTAGCAGGGTCTTTGGCGTTAATGTCAGAAGGTGTTGGTCCTGAAATGAGTGATAATGAAGAAGGCGCTTCTGGAGGAGTCACGTGGGACGTTTCCCCAGGCCTTTGGGGTAGTCGTAGGGGAAGTCGTGAAACAGGGTCACGCAAGAGGGGTACCCATCTCTCATCGGTGGGTACCTGCCGCCCTTGCAGCTGGAGTTCGCGGTGCAGATGACCTGTCAGAGCTGTGTGGACGCGGTGCGCAAGTCTCTGCAAGGAGTGGCAGGTAGGAGCCAAATAAGTTTTCTGTAGACCGTCCAGAGGCCCCTGGGACAGGTAGACAAATCTCTTAGATTTACCGTACTCCCATTTTACAGATGCAGAAATTGAGACCCAGAGAGAGGAAGGATTGTTCTCAGAGTCACACAGAGCCCCCAGAGGCAGAGTACAGGTACAGGTACTTGAGGACCTGGAGTACAGGTCTCAAGCCTGCCATGCCAGCAACTGCCTGTCCTTCTGGTGTCTTAAGCCTCGCGTTCCTGGAGAGTAAGGGGCTAGACTGAGTATAGCCATGCCTACAGAAGGAGTTCCCTGAAAAACAAGCACTTTTTGCTTGTGAAACAGCATAATCTTGATAAGGCAAACAGCAGCCCTGGCCATGTGCCATCCTAGGCAGCTCCTGGTTCTTAAAGGTCAGCTAGCTAGCTGGTCTGAAGGTGACCTGACACAACTGGAAAGATCTGAGAAGCAGAACCACCAGCATGGCACCGGGAACTACCTTCCTTTGATTCTGTTAAATGTTCATCAGGTCATTCTGGAGCTATAGACCAGGCACTGGGGGCTTTTTAGGGAGAAGGGTTCACACCTGTTTCAGGCACAGCCCTTCCTTAGGTAAAGATGAACACACAAGCATTACTCCTGGAAGGGCAGGTCTGGGAAGGGGTGAGGTTAGATGGATTCTAAAGCGGGGACAGTGGTGGCTCTGGGCTCTTTGTAGGGCAGAATATATCATAGCCGTTAGGGGTATGTGCGTTAGAGATAGACTGGGTTCAGATCCTCTCTTTGTGCTACTGAAACCTTAGGTATGCAACTTTTTGTGCCTCTGTTTCTCTCTCTTTTTTAAAAAGATTTTATCTACTTATTTTTTAGAGAGAGGAAGGGAAGGAGAAAGAGGGAGAGAAACATGACTTGTGTGGTTGCCTCTTGCACGCCCCCCACTGGGGACCTGGCCTACAACCCAGGCATGAGCCCTGACTGGGAATCGAACTGGTGACCCTTTGGTTTACAGTCCAGCACTCAGTCCACTGAGCCCTCACCAGCCAGGACTGTGCCTCTGTTTCTTCAGTGTTTCAATGGGCATGATAATGGAAGCTACTCTGGAGAATTGTCCTGAAGAGTAAATTAGTTACAATTAGGACTTTAGAAAAGTCTTTGGCATGGGGTGAGAACACACTGCATCTTGCGAATTGTACAAGGAAGGGCTTATAGGTGGTGATCCGGTTAGTGGAGGAAGGAGAGTACACGTCTTGAAGTTGGATTTGCTATGCGTTTGGCGATGATGGGCGAGGGTCTCAGGAGACTGAGCCATTCCACCTCGGGTTTGGTGCTCTAACCAAAGGTTTCTGAGAATGTTGGGCTGTCTACTTCCTGCAGACCATTCTTGCTGGGAGAGCAAACAGCTATACTTTTTGTTGGACACAGCAGTTTTTCGCCCTCAGCAGATTTCTTAGGCACAGAAAATGACCTCTGGTGGTTACATTTTCTGTTCTGGGCAACTGGAACCAGCTTGGCTTTTTATGGGCTGAGAGGGGTGAGGAATTTGTCCGTTTCGGTGGTCTGGGGCTTTGGAGAATAGAGCTCTGTTCCCCTTCATGTATGGCACGTATAGCAAGTATAAGTGGGAGGAACGCCCAGCCCAAGGCCCACTTTTTTGAACCCTGGAGTTCACTGTGGGCTTATCTTTTCTCTCTCACTGGGTTCTGAGCTAAACAAGGGCTGGCTCAGCCACACCCTAGGCTTTACCAGCCAAACAACTGCTGCATAGCTGGAGGGCCAGCTTCTTGGTTCAGACTCAGGTGAGGAGCTCAGGAAGTGCACAGTTACAAAGAGCTTCCCCCTTGGCGCCTCCCCACTTCAGGAGCAGAGAATCAGCTCTCCTTAAGAGACCCCAGATCAGGGACCCACCTGCCCTGAAGCTCATCTGTCATAAAGTTTTGTCTACTGTATGTCTGAAACATACTGAGAATCCTGCCTCTCTTTTCCCATACTTTGGCCTTCACACCAATCCAACCCACCTCACCTCTCCCAGACCCTAACAAGAGCTTCATCTTTGGGTTCCCTGTTGTGTCTCTTGCCCACTTTGGTACCTTTTCCACATAAAAGCCAGAGTGAGCCCCAGACGGTATGGCTCAGTTGGTTGGAGCATCAGCTGGTTGGATCATCATAGTCGAAAGGTTGCAGGTTCTACTCCCCGGTCCAGGCACATACCAGATCCCAGGTCTGGGCGTGTGCGATCCCTGGTGGTGACATACAGTCTGGGCACATATGGGAGCAGCTGATCGATGCTTCTCTCTCATTGATGCTTCTCTCTCTCCCTTTCTCTCTTTCTAAAAGCAATGAAAAAAAAAATGTCCTCAAGTGAGAATATTAAAAAAAAAAAAGAAAAGCAAGAATGATTTTTGAAATCACACATTAGATAATGTGGCTGCCCTGTGTAGAATCTTCTAGAAGTAATAATGTTTGAGAGCCTCCCATGGGCTGGGCACCTATATATGAATAACGCATTTAGGTCTTTGATAACCCTCTGAAGTAGATAATATTAACTATCTTCATTTGCACGTGAAGAATCCGAATAGAAAATTCAACAGAAATGTTGAGTAACTTGTCCAAGGCCACACAGCTAGTATGTAGCAGACTGTGGATTTCAACCCCAGAGCCCACACCCTCCACCACTGTCCACTACAGCCTCTCCCAGTGGCTTCCCATGGCATTAAAATTAAAGTCTAGGTTCAAGTCCACCGATACTGTTGTAAAGGTGAATTTTTCCTTTTATGGCTGAGTAGAATTCCACTGTGTAAATGCCCAATGGTTGGTTTATCCACTCATCTGCTGAATGGACAGTCAGGCTGCTTCCATATCTTGACGATTGTAAATAATGCTACAACTGCAATGAACATAGGGGTGCTTATGTTCTTTTGATTAGTGTTTTGGGTGCCTTTGGATATATTCCCAGAGGCCTTCCAAGCTTTGCGACCTCAAGCCAGTTGTATGAGCTTCTAGCTTCGTTTCCTCACCTGCCACATGAGGACAGTATCACTGTCCTGATGTTTGTAAAGCAGAGCACACAGCTCTTGTCACACGCTGCAGGCTCAGGCCACAAGAGTTCCCCGCCATCCACCCTCCCTACAGCCCCTTGCATCCAGAGGCACCTCTTTGTGGACCTGGAACTCCACGGCATCACAGGCTGCTGGGTGGCCCAGGATGAGATGTGTGAAGTGAGGCACAGTTTGGTTATTTGGGGGGTTTCCTTTTCACAGTATTGCCTTATTCCTTTTTTCTAGAGAATTTGTATGAGTTTGAGTCAAACCGGTGATGTGATGTGCCGGGAAGCAAGATCTCACATGTTCTCAGGGTTTCCTTGTCCCTGCAGCGGAGGAGACGGGCCTGCCTGCCTGATCTCTCACACATTCTGCCTGCTCCCAGCAGGGTCAGGGATGCGGCGGGGGATCTGAAGAAGCAAGCCAGTGAGACCCTTGTAGCCACAGCCAGATGTTCCTATCTCTCAGGTGCTGCCCCCTCCCAGTAGTACTTCCCAGTTTTGCCTCCTTTGAGCAGGGAGGAATCTGAACAGCTGAGGCACCTGGTCTGTGCCTTGGGAATTGTTATTCTCTTCTCTGCCTGGTGGTTAACCCAGGCACAGTCTGAGTTCTCCCACAGCCTGTGAGCTCCCTGAGGACTAGGACCAGTGCTTTCCCCGACCCTGGCCTCCTCGCCAAGTACACATTTGTTGAAAGAATACGGAGCAGGGAAACCAAGGTTGAAGGGAAGGCCAACAGTCAGTGTAGTATTCAGTTCGAAGAGCACTAGCTGAACACTGCGTTTAACCCATGTCTCCTGGCCTGCCCACAGCTCCCCTGGGCTTACTCCACAGCGCAGCAAACACACTCAGATCAAACCAGAATGACTATTAGCCCTACAGGTAAGAGCAGCGTGTAGAGTTTCTGGCCCATCCCCTCTGAACTGGCCGACAATTCAAGGGTTCTCTTAAAAGGCTTGGGAGTCCCAAGTATCCGAATGAAAGAAGCCCTTCTCATCCTTCTTTGAATTGGCTCCATGTTCATCAAAGCTGAGCATGCGTCAGAATTGTCCCACTGGCTGTGTACACACAGGGGTGACTTCGGGGATTTGGGGGCCAATTGAGACACACTGACGTTTGAACCTGACCCCTGTAGAACACAGAGAGCTTGTGCCTGCACAGAGGACTGGAATCAGTGCAGTGTGAATTATGCAGGAAAGTGGCAGCTCCAGGGCAGAGGAAGGGGTCCCAACCTGCCTGGAGGCTGGGGGCTGCCTCTCGGGTGAGCAGCGTCCAGGGGAATTGCCTGGGCTCCGGAGCTGGGGTGCCTGGGAGGAACTGCAGGTTCCACAGTTTACTACAGTGTGACTTCGAGTGAGTTTCTTAGTTTCTCTGTACCCAGCTCACAGGATTGCTTGAGTATGGAAGGAGTAACTTCAGATAAAGTATGAAAAAGCCCGCAGTGCATACTCAGAAAATGTTATTCCTCATAATGATGGTGATATGAGCTTTACTGAGGTATAACTCATGAATCACAAAATTTACCCCCTTAAAATATATAGTTCATTGGCTTTTAGTATATTCATGGAGTTGTACAATCATCACCACTATCAGTTTTATATGTCACCAGCTCATGAGGAAATTGAACACTTTAGCTACCAGCCTCCCAGTACCCCACCCCCAGTCTACTTTCCATCTTTATAGATTTGCCTGTTCTGGACATTTCTCCCAGAATGGCATCAGCTAATATGTGGCCTTCTGTGACTGGCTTTCCTGCAACAGTGTTTTCAAGGTTCGTCCATGTTGTGGCACCCGCCGATGCTTCATCCCTTTTTCTGGCTGAACAGGGCTTCGTTGTATTGAAATAATGCATGCTGTTTATCCATTTCTCAGTGGACGGGCATTTGGGTTGCTTTCACCTTTGGCTATTATGAACGGTGTGGGTCTGGTAGCCTGCTTTTATAAGGACATTTTTAATTTATTTTATTTTTTATTTTTTAAAATTTTTATTTATTTATCTTTTAGAAGGGAAGGGAAGGAGAGAGGCAGAGAAATATCAGTGTATGGTTGCTTCTCATGGGTCCCCTGCTGGGAACTGGCCTACAACCCAGGTATGTGCCCTGACTGGGAATCGAACTGCGATCTTTTGGTTCGCAGGCCCTTGCTCAATCCACTGAGCTACACCAGGCAGGGCTAGAAAGACATTTATTAAAGAATTATCCATGTTTCAAAAGTTATAAACAATGCCTGGCATGTACTAAGGACTCATAACAATCCTGGGAGTGAGGTGACGTTATCCCCACTTTCTTTACAAAGAAACAGCCTCAGAGAGGTTAAGGGCCTTACGGAAGGAAGCTTCAGAGCCTGCCTCCAGCCACGGGAGGCTGGTGGAGATGGGAACAGGGAGTTACCCGCTCTGTTTCTCTCCTGCCTGTCCCCAGCGCAGGGTCGCCAGCCCTCGGCTGCCCTCTGCCCTCTCTCTCCTCCCAGGTGTCCAGAGTGTAGAGGTGCAGCTGGAGAACCAGATGGTCCTGGTGCAAACCACCCTGCCCAGCCAGGAGGTGCAAGCCCTCTTAGAAGGAACAGGGCGGCAGGCGGTACTCAAAGGCATGGGCAGTGGCCTTTTGCGTGAGTAACCACTGTGGCCTTGGCCTTGCCTTTCTGGGAGGGATGTGGCCTGGGGCTGGTTTAAACCTAACCATAGGATTTTGTGGCTTTGGGTTGGAGAGGCTTTGGAGAAGGTGTGAAAGTTATGTGGGGCTCTCTCCCTGCCCTTCCCCAGTGGGTGAAGGGGTGGGGCTGGGTGAGGTGGCAAGCCAACCCAGGTGCCTCCTATCTTGCAGGGAATCTGGGGGCAGCAGTAGCCATTCTGGGAGGACCTGGCCCTGTGCAGGGGGTGGTGCGCTTCCTGCAGCTAACCCCTGAGCACTGCCTCATTGAGGGAAGCATTGATGGCCTAGAGCCTGGGCCACACGGACTCCATGTCCATCAGTTTGGGGACCTTACAAGGAACTGCAACAGGTAAGTCATCTGTAACCTCCCTTGTAGCATCCTCATCACCGCAGTTGTGTCCCCACTATGTGTAGGAAGCCGTATGTAGCCCTTAGGCACGCTTTCACGCTTTAGGGTCTTCATAAGCACTCTGTGAGGCATATACATACAGGCCCAGTCTACAGATGAGGAAACTGAGACTCAAAGAGGTTAAGTGACTTGTCACAAGCCCCAGAGCATATAAATAGTAGAGTGGGGGTTTGAACCAAAATCTGACCTTGAACCAAAATCATAGCCACCTTACAGCCTTGGAGGTGGAAGGTGACTCTTGGATGTGGGAAAGGCAGGTCCTGTGTCATGGTGTTGGTCATACTACAACACTATTAGTTGATTGCTCATTTTTGTCTCCCTTAGAAGCTTATTGAGGGCAAGACCCATGTTTGATTTTTTTTTAAGATTTTATTTCTTTATTTTTAGAGGGCAAGAGGGGCAAAAGGAGAGGGAGAGAAACATCAATGTGTAAGAGATACATTGATTGGTTGCCTCTCACATATTCCCAGCCAGGGACCTGGCTGCGCCCTGGCTAGGAATTGAACTGGTGACCTTTTGGTTCACAGGACAGTGCTCAGTCCACTGAGCCACACCAGCCAGGGCTCAATTCTTCTTAATGCCCTCAGCTCAAAGCCTGGCACAGAAGGGGTATGTTTGTTGAATGAATGTATGAATGCATGCATGCATGAATGAATGAATGAATGAATGAAACATGTAATTAAAGTAAGAGGATGGATCACCTGCCCTGTGGGCTGCTGTTTCACTGCCCACCTGATACCTTTTATTCTTAGCTGTGGGGACCACTTTAACCCTGATGGAACATCTCATGGGGGCCCCCAGGACACTGACCGGGTAAGTGTTCAACTTGTGAGGCTTGGGCCGACACAGAGCCCCAAGGTCTCAGAGGCAGGGCAGGCAGGTCTCGGAACCTTTGAGTGAGATTCCCTTTTGGTCCCCACCGTATTTTGTTCCAGTTACAAGCATTGACTGACACTCTCTGAGGCCAGGGGCTGCCCCAGGAGCTCACAGCTGGACGGGGGAGACCACCAAGCACTCTGGCTGCAGCACAGTGAGAGGATCCTGGCTGGGGACCCTGGGAGCCCAGAGCCAGCCCCTGATGCAGCCTGAGGGGCATGGGCAGTGGGAAAGCTTCCTGGAGAAGTGACAGTGTAGAAATTGAAGGTTTTCCCTGAACTACACAGGCCATTCCGGATGTTCCACCTCCTCCTGGTCCTGGAATTTCGTTTTCACTGAAAAAGTGTTTTCTCCACAGGCAAGTCACATGCTGCCTTAATGATTTTTGCCTTATCCGAGTACTGCTTGTTCTGTTAGTTACTCAATGCTTTGATTTAAATGAACTCATTTTTTCCCTTAGGTAAATCATGGTTATTTTTAGTGCCTCAATCTCTATGACAGAAAGTTTCAAACATTCCAAAGTGGAGAAACTACCATCCCGAACCCCCAGGTCCCTGTTACCCAGCTTCAGCACCCAGCACCCCATGGCCAGTCCCGTTGCACGTACACCGCTGGGCCTCTTTTCATTATTATGTTGAAGTGAAACAAGACTACATTTTATGTAATGGAGGTAGATTGATTTTTTTTTTTTAAGGAGAAACTTGATATTGCACAGAGAATGGAAAACCAGCACTTCTAGCTTTAATCGGAGGATCATTGTAGAAATAAATCGGTGTGGGCTTAGAACGCGGTCTGAGCCCTGGTAGGGACGGAGGAGGTCCGCTTGATCTTTGTTAAAGTGATAGCGAGAGGTGTTGGAGACCTGTTAACACCAGACTGTCCCTTCGTCAGACCGGAGGGTGGCACCCACTCCCTGTGCTGTTTCCTGGGCCCTGTCCTCACGCACCTCACACCTCTACTTCGCCTCCTGGGCGTGTTTTTCCCCTTTGTTGGATTCAGTGCCAGGCAGGCTCTGGGTCCTGGTCCTGAGAGCTGGTGACTCCCCTTTACACCCTCCAGGACTCACGGGCTTCCTTGGTTTTTATTTTCTATCTGGATGAGCGCTTGCATCCTTTTGCCACAAAGCAGATGAAAACACGGCATGTGTTTGTTCTAATTCATTGTAACTGATTGTTTGGACTTTTGACTGCTCCGTCACATTTCTCATGGTCAGAAGCTTTTATTCCTCCTCTCCCAACCCCAAAGTTGGAGGAAAGCCATGCTTGTGTTCAAATGTATCTACTGCCGTGAAGCAAATGACTCCAAACGTAGGGGTTTAAAACAACAAACATTTATCATCACACAGTTTCACTGGGGGCCTCTCCTGGGTTGCAGCCATGTCCAGGCTCCAGGTGGGGAGGATCTGCCCCCACCCTTCTTCATGTTGCTGTTGGCAGGCTCGGGCCTCCCTGGCTGTTGGCCAGACCTCAGCCCTTTGCCACATGGGTCTCTCCCTAGGGCAGCTCACAACACAGCAGCTGGCTTCCCTCGAGCTAGGAAATGAGAGATGGCATCCAAGGTTAAAGCCACACTCTTCCTGTAACCTAGTCTTGGAAGAGACACTAGGTTCAGCCTACACTCGGAGTATACAAGGATGTGAACACAGGGGAGATGCATCTTAGAGGCTGTCTGCGTCACTGATGCTTGAGAGGGGCCAAGCGAGAATTAGGCCGGTGAAGTGCACCACCGGCAGAGCCCTGGAGGCATGAGCCAGCGAGGAGCACCTGGGAGCTGGCAGCCCGTGTCTCTTCTGGAGGTTTTTGAAGGGCAATAGACCACCTCACAACTTATGCCCTGACCCAGGCCCCTCTCAGGGCTGGAAATCAGAAGGAGGTGGAGCCAGCTGCTCCTCGATATAGACAGAGGAAGACCTGAGCGAGAGCTGCATGTCCAAGGCTGCCATGATGACGGACAGGTTCATTATGGATTTCAGCATCTGGTTTGGGCCACGTGGGAATGTGCTCAATGTGGGAATTTACGTCCAAGCCTGGTTGTCCTGTTGCACGTCCCCTACATGCTCTCAGCTTCCTTCCCTTCTCTCCTTTCCCCCTCCATTCCTTTCTCTTCATATATTGTACTGAAGGGATTACTCCAAAGCATGGGGTCACCATGTCGTGCCCGTGCCTGAAACCCTTCTTGGCTCTCCAGTGCCTGGTGGTATAGGCCCCGCCAGGCTGCTTGGTGCGGCATTCAAGGCCATTGGCCCGGCTCCACCCACCCATGTGTAGGGGAGGGACTGGAAAGGCTGCCTCTCCTGACCCTCTGCTGCTGAGTCATGTCTCTGAGCCGCTCTGCGTGCTGCTGCTCCCTCAGCCAAGTCCTGAAAACTCTCAAGGCTCTGTGTCGTTGCCTCCCCTTCCTTGTCTTTCTACCATTAAAGTCCCAGCACAGGGCATAACAGAAGCGCCAGGTGTAAGCAGCAGACATCTCTCTGGGAAACAGGATAAAGCAGAAGTGGCTCTTCTTGCTGCTTGTCCAGGCCATTTTATAGTGATATGCTTTGTGGCCATGCTTTGCAGCAAGGTCTTGTGTACCAGCCCACATAGGCACAGGACAGGCACTTGCTTCTGCCCGAAGTGTCAGGTTGGGGATAATTTATTTGCACAGATGTGAGTCTGTGACCCACCAGTAAGATCTTGTCACCAAAATATACACTCACTGTTGTCCCAACCCCATGTGTCTTCATCACTCTTCTGTTCTCCATCTTTCTCTCACCGAGCTGTGAATCCTGGAGGGTGGTGACTGCGTGTGCACCCCCATGCCTGGCCAGAGGGTGTCTGATTTAGGAGGTGCTCTATAGATGTGTTGTGGCATTTTTATTGCCTTCCAGGGAGAAGAAGGTGTGTAGAACCAGCTTGGGGGGGGGGCAGAGGAGGACAGGCAGGACAGGCGCCTTGCCCCTTGTGCTTCTTTTCTCTGTTCCTGGAAGCAGGAGGTCAGGGAAGGGATGCTGGCTGCCTCTGATGCCCAAGGAGCCAGGCGTGGCCAGCCAAAGCCCAGGGGAACTGCAGACTGCCAAGGGCTCATAGAGTCATTAGGAGGCTGGAGAACCCCACTTGGAAAGAAGCAGGGACTGGGCTAGGTTCTGAGGCCAGGGTGCCAGATTGGGCAGTGACCTCACAGGGGAAAGTCTGGTCCAGTGGGCATGGCTTCCTAGAAGGGAGTCAGGGCTATTTTCAGGGTGCTCTCATTCCGTCCAGGATTTCAGTTCCAGGGAGGGAACATCCAGTTGGCTTCTTTGTGTCCTGGGCGTCCCTTCCTTTTACCTGACCATACCCACAGAAGGACACTAGTACTTTTGGGGAGTGGAATCAGATACTGGGGAGCCATAACCTAGCAACTGTGCCCCATATGCTCTTTCTCCCCTGGGTCTTACTGCAGCACCGGGGAGACCTAGGAAATGTCCACGCCGATGCTGACGGCCGAGCCATCTTCAGGATAGAGGATGAGCAGCTGAAGGTAAGGGGGAAAGGAAGTGAGGATCTTTCCTCCCAGATAAGTCCACTGTCTGAGGCTGATGTCTCCCCTCAAAGGTGTGGGATGTGATTGGACGAAGCCTGGTCATTGATGAGGGAGAAGACGACCTGGGCCGCGGAGGCCATCCCTTATCCAAGATCACGGGGAACTCAGGAAAGAGGTGGGTAATGCCGCCCCGTGCAGGAAGCTGTGCTTTGCCAGCCAGACCCGCAAGGGGCTAGACAAGTGCCTGCTTGCTCTTGACCACTCATTCATCTGCAGGTTGGCCTGTGGCATCATCGCACGCTCCGCTGGCCTTTTCCAGAACCCCAAGCAGATCTGCTCCTGCGATGGCCTCACCATCTGGGAAGAGCGAGGCCGGCCCATTGCTGGGGAGGGGCGGAAGGAGCCAGCCCAGCCCCCTGCCCACCTCTGAGCAGGGCCTCAGCCTCAGGACTGTACTCTCCTCCTGGCTGGATGCCATGCTCTTCCAGGTGGAGGAGGGCAGGCCCGCTTGTTCAGTCCGAGGAGAGCAGGGATACAGGGTGTGCGGGAGAACGCTGTGAGACTCCCTTGGCAAATTAAAGTTTTATTTTCACATCCAACTCTGTGTGTTCCCACGGGCTTGGTGGACACAGTCCCACTGCCTGGGACTTCAAAGGCCAGCTCTTGGCTTTTGGAGCCAAAACAAACAAAAAACAAACAAACTGGATTTAAACCTACACACGTCCTGCCCTAACTGGTGTAGCTCAGTGGGTTGGGCGTGGTCCCCTGAACTGAAAGATCATCGGTTCCATTCCCAGTCAAGGCACAAGCCTGGCTTGTGGCTAGGTCTCCGGTGGGGGGCATGAGAGTCTGCTGATTGCTGCTTCTCTCTCACATTGATGTTTCACTCTCTTTCTCCCTCCCTTCCTTTCTCTCTCTAAACACATAAATAAAATCTTTAAATACACCCCTTCTAAGGGCAAGTGCACAGGGAAAACTCATGAATTGCCAGACAATGCCAGATGCTCCAGAGTCCCCACTGGGCCTTGCCTGAGGCCGGCTAACTCCTGACCTGGGGGTCAAGAGCTACTCCTGTATCTTCCCAATGCACCCTTTAAAAATTAAGCTTCCTTGAGTTGATTTCTTTACTCACAAGTGAAAGACTATTAATCTAAAAAGTGAAGTGCTTGGCACAGGGCCTGGCACATGGTAAGTTAAAGGAGCAGTGTCTGTGATTCTGAGGCCAAACGGGGCCCTGGAGGCAGCCCCAGCGAGTTCCCTGCTCACAGAGAGGGCCAATGTCCAGGGTCTGAGTGTGGGGGACCAGAAATTCTGGCTCAAATGTTTGCCCCCACCCCCGCCTCCACTGGACTGTGTCAGGCTGCTCGCCCGGGACACGGTGGGCTGTCAGAGTACAAACCGTGCCCTTTACGCTGCCCGCACGGAACCGGGTGGGTGGTTTTACAGTTAGCTGGCCTTGGCTGAGATGCGCCTGGCACTGCTCCCATTCCCCGGGCAGGCCCTGCCTGGTTCCGCCTGAAGGCTGCTGCCTGTACCTCTGGCCCCAGCCCTCGGCCCCTGCTCTTTCTTGCCCAGCCTGTGCTGGTTGCTTTCCAGCTCCCCTTGTTTCCTGGGGAACCAAACCTTTTTTAATACTGGGTCCCAGGTTTTGTACCCCCTGTCAGCTTCATTGCCGCAACTGCTCTTGGACTCTGCCCGCCCTGACCTCCTCTGGCCTTCCTGCTGGAGGCATAACTGGTTTTAACCCTTTCATGGCTTAACTGCTCACCATCCTCTACCGATCTGCTTTGATCCCTAAGGAATCAACATCCCATTAGCTTTTCTTTCTTCTAAACTCAGCGGTGTGCTTTTTTACAAACTTTTTCATCAAGAAATACTGTCTAAACATCTTGAAGCCCCGTTTGTAAAGCAGAAGTGGACCGGTCCTGGGGCTGCCGGGAGCACGGCTTGAAAATCTTTGCCAAATTCAGACATTTTTGTGTTACCTCTCAACTTGTGCCATGTCCACCAACCATCTGTACTGTCATTCACCAAATACTTTAAATTGATTCACTTTTAAACTTACTTAGAAAGGAAATTATAATCACTTTAGCTAATACGCTACCCTAGATAGTGATTATTGCCAGCCTCTGTCTGTTCTAAGCACTTTACATCCACTAATACATTTAATCCTTTAGGCAATTCTACACAGAAGGCAAGTTCTATTATTAGCCCATGTTACAGATAAGGAAACAGAAGCACAGAGTGGTTATGTAACTTGCCCTAGGTAACACAGCAACGTGGCCCACATGGTCTGGCTCCAAGTCTATGCTCTTAACCACTCTATTGGTTCTCATTGTAAAGTATGGAAAACAAGATTCATTTGTCAGAAACAGAAGTTTGCTAGAAAAAGAATATACATAGCTATTAAAAATTGTTCAGCCTGGCTGGCGTGGCTCAGTGGATTGAGTGTGAACCAAAGGATCACCAGTTCAAATCCCAATCAGGGCACATGCCTGGGTTACAGGCCAGGTCCCCAGTAGGGGGTTCGTGAGAGACAACCACACATTGATGTTTCTCTCCCTCTATCCCTCCCTTCCCTTCTCTAAAAATAATTAAATAAAATCTTAAAAAAAAATACATGTATGTCATCTACTTAAGGTATCTTAGCCAGAGAGAGAGAGATTTTACCTAAAACTCTAGAGGAGGGAAGCACCGAAACAGAGGGCCCATAACAGGGAGCTCAGCTTTCAGGCAGGGGGGAAAAGGCTTGGGTTTCCCGGGTCTTCCTGGCTATTAATACTGCCAGCAGGAGAGAACCCTGTCACTGTGCTTATGACGTAGGTCAGTGGTATCAGCCCACTGAAACTACTGTTACTGATTGTCTTTTTATTTTTATTTTGAAGACTATGATAGGCTAATAACCCAAAGTTATCTGGTCCTAATCCCCGGAAGCTGTCAGTATTACCTTATGTGGAAAAAGTAACCACAGAGGATGGTCTGAAATTAAAGCTAAGAGCAAGTCATGGCTTGTAGACCTACCTAGTCATGTCCTGGGCCTGTATCTTCCTTGACAAAGGTCAGTTTTTACCCTCACTGAGCCTGTCTTGCTGTCCTTTTGCATCTATGATAAAGTGTCTTTGGAAAGTCAGAGTCGGTTCCTTTTTGCAGACCCCTCAGGGCACAATCTCCCACTGGAGTAGGAGGACACAGAGCCCCTCATTGTTATGGTTATTACGGTAACTAACTGTTAACGATCCCATTCCATCTCTGTAAAAGGAGCGTGTGTCTATTCATTCCTTTTACTTTTTATACCATTTCAGAGGGGATTTTTGCTTTCTCCTGGCCCCCAGTCTATCACCAGTGAATTTCATGTAGCCCTTTAGGCTTCCTCCTTTGATTGTAATGCATGAACTAAGGTGTTACACTGCCCTTCTCCAGAACATTTCTCAATCCATTGAGATTTTGCTTCCTTGCAATTGGCGTCAGTTTGGTCCAATCAAATTCATAAAAATTCTCATGGGTTTGGACATTTCTTATGTTGACCCCAAAATTAAGTTTACGAAATTTGGTTTATGTCATTGGTCCTCAGTGGGGGTGTTACTACCCCTTAGGGGACCTGTGGGGCTTTGTGAGTGAGTTCTTTTGGTGGTGACAATGCTGAGTGGGGAGGTGCTTCTGGCGTGCGTGGGGGAAAGGCTAGGGAGCCTTGCTGGCCTGCCGGTTGCAGGATAGTTCGTCATAATGAAGAACTGTCCCAGTTTCTGTTTCCAGTGTCGCACTAGATACACTTGAATGTGAAAAACATTTACAATTAGAACTTAATTTTATTTGTAAACAACAAAACACTTCTGGTGCCGTTTTAACAGACCATGAATTTTTCTGTTCTTGGTTGGGTTTGGAACGTTACTGAGAGTTGTTCACCATTTTGGAGAATGATGTTGCCAGCGGCAACAGGAGTCCTATTTGAGCTGCCAGTGCGAGACCTTTGTATCAGTCTGCATTCGTAGCTGACCGGGAGACACAGTTCATTATAGATATTTCATATGATAGATATTGTTTTATTAGAAATGTCTTTCCATTTGACACAGCCATGATAGGCTGGGTTATGTCTCTGGGCCACCATATGAAGAAAGATAGAGCCTCCAGAATCCCTGGCTGGCGTAGCTCAGTGGATTGAGTGCGAGCTGTGAACCAACGGGTCGCCAGATTCCCGGTCAGGGCATGTGCCTGAGTTGGGCCGGCCAGGTCCCCAGTGGGGGCCACATGAGAGGCAACTACACATTGATATTTCTCTCCCTCTCTTTCTTCCTCCCTTCCCCTCACTAAAAGTAAAAATAAATAAAATCTTAAAAAAAAAAAGTAAAGCCTCCTGGAAAGTCTAGTATCATTACCAGAGAAATAAATCCAGTGTGGGTTTGAGGTATGGTGAAATCAGAGAGGTGATTGTTATTTTTTCTTTAAAAAATCTAACAAGGTGGTCAGTAATTTTTATAAGTGAAGGAGGTGATATTCACAGATGTGAAGACTTGTGCTCACATTCACACAGCTGGCAAATCATGATTTAGCTCCTTTTCCCGGGGTAATGGAAAGAGCACCAACTTAGCCCCATATCTACTGCCAGCTTGATGATGGGCAACTCCTTCCCCTTCTCCACTTCTGAACGGGTCTTCTCTGTAAAGTGATTGGGCTAGCCTGGCCTGGCCTGGCTTAACTTATCTTTTTTTTCTTTAAATTAACTTATTTTTATTCTCACCTGAAGATGTGCTTAGAGATGTGATTGATTTTAGAGAAATGGGGAGGGAGATGTGAGAGAGAAACATTGATCGGTTGCCTCTTGTACATGCCCCAAATGGCACTGAACCTGCAGCCTAGGTAGGCATGCACCCTGACTGGAAATTGAACCCTCAGTTTTTGGATTTACGAGATGACCTCCAGCCAGCTGAGCTACACTGGCCAGGCTGGCCTATCTTGAAGAATCCTTTGCAGCTTGGACACTATTTGCTGGTGGATATTTCTGTGTATGATCTTGCCTACCCTCATTACCCACACTTGGTTCTAAATGACATGCTGTTCTTTGAAGAAATCAGATGTATCACCAACGCTGAAGTTCTGTTTTCCCAAAGGATGTCTCTTCAAGGCCTAGAGTCCATTCAAGAGGAAGGTTAAATCTACACCAGCCAGCACTGCAGCCATTGGTTACAAGTGGCTATGAAACAGCTGTAATGTGGCTAGACCAAATTGAGATGTGCCGTTAAGACATACACAAAGAATGTCAAGGACTTACGAAAAGAAAAAGAATGTAACATATCAATAATTTTTACATTGATTACATGATGAAGTGATCATTTTTAAAGATACATTGGGTAAAATAAAATATATCACTACAATTACATTTTTTAATTATTCTTTTTTAAAGTGCACACAGGGATTTCACAGTGCATTTCTGTCGCACGCTGTTCTGACCCTGACCCCTACCAGCACACTGGAACCAACGTGGGACTGCCCCCATGATGCCTTTCAAATGGTTTCGCCTACTGAGTGCTAAGGACCTACTGCTGCTCACTCTGGGAAGACGTCAGCAGTTTGGACTTGTGACGGTACCAGAGCGGTATCAGAG